CCCYTGTGCGCCCGGTCCTCGGCCTCCCATGGCCTGGCCCCTTTGGCCCTGGCCTCCTCCTCTACCTTGCGGCCTCCCTCCGGCCGCGACAGCAGCGTAAGATCTCCCCTGCCCCACACTACTGCCATCATGTTCGAGGCCCCACTCAATCTGATCATACGAGATCTCATCAGTACCACCTTCCTCTAACGTCAGGATCATGTGATCCTTGGCCTTGGCCTGAGATAGTACGATTCTTCCACTTCTTCCCCTTCTCCAGGTCCTTATGCGAGGAAGTGGTAATTGGCATAGACTTTGACTCATACAGGACGACCTCCCTACTCAATTGATCATATGTGATGTTGGCCTGCTGAGACTTATCAAAGAAATGCCTGCGTAGGGCCTTTGGGATGGCACGATAAAACAACTTGACCAACTGGGGCTCGGTGACCCCGTGGTCAGGGACGGCTACCAAGTCGTCCATAGTACTCTTGAGTGCCTTAGCACTCTTCCACTGCCGCGAGTGGATCGTTTGAAGCTTGCCAGAAACTCTTATGCCTCTCGTTGGGTTAGCGAAACGCTCCTTGAGGAGCCTGAGGAATTGGGAAAGAGGGGTGACTTTAGAATATGCAACCAGGTTGTTTTCACAACCGGCTGTACGCGCGAGAGACCTAGCGAAGCTAGCCGCTTCGTCCTTCAGGGCCTGGAAGGCCACGAGGACTTGCTCCTCCATCAGGATATGCTGTAAATAAATGTAACTATTGANCCTAGCGAAGCTAGCCGCTTCGTCCTTCAGGGCCTGGAAGGCCACGAGGACTTGCTCCTCCATCAGGATATGCTGTAAATAAATGTAACTATTGACACTGGCCTCCCAATTACTAAGTTCTTATCCTTCTTTCCCCCGTACGCGTCTGGGAACTTAAGTTTCACTGGGTCCTTACGGGGTCTGGCCTCTCCCTCTACAACGGCTACTGCTTTGGCACCCTGAATGACGCCCTCACAAAACTTCCCTACATTATCTCTCAATTGCTTCACTTCGCCCCCAATATGGGTGACGAACTCGCGCGCGAAATCTCTAAACCCTGACCGCATGGCACTCAACGCTACATCCTGGCTCCAGCTTGCCTGVCGCTCCTCCATCCAGGCCTTGCTCAACACCTCCAGATACCCCAGTACTTTGTTCCACTTGGCCTTATCGTCTGGTTGGGCCAACACCTCCGCTCTACACTCCTGCACCTTTGCCACTTCTGCGGTCATCTTGTTCACTTCCTCTCTTCTTCTCTCTCTTCATCCTCAGCTTCCATGCTAACTTTTGTTCCTCCTCCCTCTCTCTTTGTTCCATCGGGTCTGTCATGGCTGCTAGCTCGRCGGCCAGCGCAGCCTTCTCATCCTTAGTTACATAGGACTCCGCCTCCTCGTCTTCTCCCTACGATAAATTAGCGACCCACTCGCTGATCTTCTTCTCCAGCCCTGTATTTGTCTCCCTCGTCATTGTGCCATTACTAATCTCTTCTCCACTCTCAATCCTCATCCTCTCTTTCTCTTCTTCTGCTGCTGCTTCTGCTTCAACAACTTTTCTTCTTTCTTCCTCCTCTTGTTGTACTTTTTTCATCTCCTCCTCCAATCTCTTCATCTTCGCCGCCTGCTCGTCTGCGATAGCCTTTAGCTTGGCGTGCTTTTCACGCTCTTTCCTCTCCTTACTCTCTCTGACTAAGGCGGMYATCTTTTCTTGTTGCTCAGTGGTGTAGGGGCTAGTCTCCTTCCCACTACGGGTCTCAACCATGGTGACAAGTGTACAACCGGGTTAGTGGTTCCAAACCTCACCACGTARACGTCAACCCCTGACTGACAGACCTACTGACTCAATCTAAGAYTCACAGAATCCTGACAGGGATCMTGTCAACTATGGTCTCTAGCCTAGACCTACACTATGGCTGTCACTACTGAACCAGTGGCTGATCAGGAGGCATTTAAGGAGATCCCCCATAACTCCTC